CTGACTGGTTTGCTAGAAAAAAACACACACACACGGATCCCTGTCTGGCAGATGTGATAGCTTCCATGGACTGATACTAATCTGTATGCAATCAGCTGCGACACAATGCAATGTCAGACAGAATAACAAGAAGCCTACCACGGAGTATACAGATACTGGTAACACAATGCAATAATCTCTCTAGAGGTATAGATTCTTAGCTTGGTACATGGAAGCTGCTTATTATTTTATAAAATATAATATCCCTAAGTGGGCAGTACATAAAATATGTACAAAAGTAAAGATTGCAGGAAAGGAGGTGACAGAAATGTAGCTTTTTGCTATAACATAAAAACATAAATAAAAATACTGTGTGGACAATATTGTTTTATCACAATGGCAGGAAGTTACTGAAAATTCTGTACATACCATGTCTCTCTTAATTACAATGTTCATCTCATGCTACTTCATTTATAGAGGTATTCACGTGGGATGAACTCTAACCCTTTGACCAAGCACCTTTGGAAGAGCTACTACCTCACCTGTGGTAATGGGTTCTGACCTCCTGAAGAGGCCATAGGTTATGCGGACCAGCCAGACCACAGTTTGGGTCCATATGAAAGTTTTCTTCTTTACCTAGAGCCTTGTTTTTTTATCAGGTGGGTCATAACCCAAAAGTGGGTCGCAACCCCATGTTCAGTGGGTTGCCGCATGCTTTCCATTTTTCTAGGGCAGAGGCTCCTCTGCTTCTCCCTAGCACAACACTGTTCATTTTCGTGCCAAGCAGACACTCAAAATATACTGCCCGGAACCGAGTGTCAGCTTGAGGTGGGATGTGATGGGGCTATGGTCACGAGGGAGCTCCATCCATAGATGCATTGCTTACAACTCCCTCACGTGTCCTGTAGAGGTGCCTGGACCGGAGTGATGTCACATTCTGGTTCCCGGCACCTCTACAGGGCACTCAAGGGAGCTTTACATGCAATGCACATATGGATAGAGCTCCGTCACAGCACAGCAGTCCACACTGGACCCAAGGCTGAGGATCCCCTCCAGTTCTAGTAAGGTAGGGAGACTGGGTGTGCCAGAATGTATGAGATTGTGTCTGTGTATGTATGTCAGTGTTTTTGAGGGCCCGTTCATACTAGTACAGTGCATTAAACTGTATCTCTGGTGTGGGAGGTGTTGTGCGTTGCCATTCATTTAAATGCTACCCCAAAAGCCCCTCCCACCCACAGTTCCTATGCCTGCACCGGAATGTGCGGTACCCTAGTGCTGTGCGTTCCATTGCAGTGATGACCGAGGACAAATGTGGGTCCTGAGGTTACACAGATTGAGAACCACTGACCTAGAGGAATTAATCCAAACACCACAGATTTCATCAGTTAGAGCCACAAAGGAAGTGAGTAATAGAGGACTTCCTCTGCCAGCTTCTGTGTTTACAAGCACCAGCGGCAGGTCGTTGAGGTGTCACAGTGGATCCCCCACCGATGGAAGCCCAGCCAAATGTAACTGCCTATAGGTGGAATGAGCACGTAAAGATAGGAGATCTTTCTTCAACCCACCACTCCAAACAGCTGTCTTTACAGAATGTTGACTTCTATCTGCAGTAGTCACACAATTGGGCTTCTCTTCCATTTAGAATAGTGATGTGGTTCCGGGTGATTCCACCTTTCTTTAGGTCTTGTAGTCTCGTCTTTCTTTGTTTCCTCTGTGACCTGACATTGCAGGGAAGGGGAAGGGTACAGAAGAGGGGAGCTCCTTACTCAGCTCTGATAAACTAGACACAAATCCATCTGGCACCTTCACCTTGTGACGCCAAAGGTGGCCAAAATTATTTAGCCTGAAATAGGCAGCTGGTAGCACGGGAGGTGGGGGCATGTTATACCCATACTGTCACCCATCCACTCTGACAGACAACACGGCACACAGCGTGATACCAAACACACCTATCACACATGTAATGTAACTGTCACATAGACAGATAATAATTGGTGATACCTGACCTCTTTTACAGATTTATTAATAGAAGAGAAAATAACATTTATAGTAACAGATATCAATCCCCATCTCCCGTATATCTTAACCAATAGGAGCATAACTAGCATTGGATATATTCATAGTGCCAATTATTACTGCCAATCAGAGTGAGGGGGAGGAGCTTGTGAGGACAGAAATGTAGGAATTCTCTTGATTTTTCAAATACAAATCAACAATGCAATTTCCTGTCCACCACTTCCTAAATATTTAACGGATCGAATTCTCCACCCTGTGTTGGCACCAGCCTCTGGGAAGATTCCTTAAATCTGATTATCCCCACATATATTTATACAACCTTCCCCTACCCATAACCCAGCATGTAGGGGCTCAGTGAAGGTGGTAGTGAAGGTGTGGAGGTGTCTGATCCGGTCAGACAATTCATAAAAGGAGATCCGCCCGGCCTCATAATTCAGAACTATCCTGACTCTGTTACTGGAGATATTGCCGGGTAATTGGATCTTCTTCCTGTCATGCATCACTGAGTACTGATTATGCCATAACCTCTTCTTCAAACACCAGGACTTCTTATTATTTCCAATCACTGACTGACCTCCTGTCCTGTCTACACTGGGGTAACACATCCCAAGTCTCCAGATTACTGAACCCCGAACATCCACTTCCCAGCAATGTCGCCCTGAGGAGAAACTCCGACTGCTCAACACCTGAGGACACTGAAATCTCTCTGGAGTTTCTGGGCGATTCTGAGATGATGAGCAGGTTGCAGTTTTCCTGTCATCTGATATATGTAGTCTGTTACCAGCTGTGTTCACATCCAGTAATATACCTTTAACTACTGACACCGCTAATGTTTGCTGGACAGCCCCAATATTATCCTGGCGTTGTAAGGACTTTACAGTATAGGTGGGTCCGTGGTGTGTCATGGAAGATTTAGCATTGCTATGATCTTTGTCCTTTGTACTAGAATGTGGATAGACTTGTGTGCCTGGACCTTCCTGTACAATTACCCCAGACATGATATCAGATATACCTGTGTGTAATGTGTGTGAGATCCCCGCCACATCCAGATCCCCTCCATCATGGAGGAGTCTATCATGTCTCTCTCTGTCCCCATCATCTCCATCCTCAGTATCACACAAGTCACCTGTGTATGATTCCTGTAAGACAGTCTGTGGATCCGTCATGTTACACAGCTCCTCAATGTAGAATATCTTACTGTACAGCTCGTCCTTCTTTATTTCTAGCTGCTGGACCAAATGAGACAATGATAGTGAAGCCCGCTCTGCCTGCCCGGAGATCTCACTCAGGACTCTCTTCTCCAGGTCCTCCAGACGTCTCCTGAGGTCTCTGAGCAGAGCAGTGACTCTCTCTGTTTCACCAGCTGCTTTTCCTTGTACTTTCCTCCTGTGTTCCTCCAGACTCTGGACTCTTCTCTCCGTCTCCTCTCTCTTTGTCATCAGTTTCTGCAGAACATTTCTCAGTTTCTTCTTCTTCTTCTCAGAAGCCTCATCCAGAGTCTCCACCTGATGTCCTCGATGTTCTCCATCCAGCTTGCAGGACACACAGATACAGGCAGAGTCCTCAGTGCAGTAATACTTCAGTAGTTCCTTATGGACGGAGCATTTCATGTTCTCCAGGGAGGTGGTGGGGTCACATAAGACGTGTTCTGGTGCCTTGCTGTGGACTCTCAGGTGGTTGTCACACAGAGAAGCTTCACAATGCAGACAGGACTTCACAGCAGGTACAGGAGTGTGAATACAATGAGCACAGAGGATCCCAGTTTTGTTCTCATCACACTTTGCAGTCTGGAGGGTCACCAATATTTTACACAGAGTAAAGTTCTTCTGAAGTGCAGGACGTTTCCTGAAATTTTCTCTACAGTCGGGACAGGTATAACCTCCAGACCCCTCCTGTGTGTCAAGCACATCATTAATACAGACTCGGCAGAAGTTGTGTCCACATTTCAGGGTTACAGGGTCTGTATAAATGTCCAGACAGACGGAACATTCCAGCTCCTTCCTTAGATCAGCAGACGCCATCGCTGACAGCAGAAGAGAGAAATGACAGTGAAAGTCTCTGACACTCCTTAACCAGTGTTACGGGTTCTGTACACTCCTACACAGGGCGAGACTGAGACTCGTATTCATAGGAATCCTTATACAGAGGACACAGATAATACATGGGAGGATTCCTGACAATAATCTCCATATCTGAGGAAGAATAAAGGTCATTTAATAATCTGTGGAAATGTTGTGTCAGGAATTTCCCTTCATATCATTAGCACATTTCACAGACAAAGGAAGACAAAGGTGATGTATTTGGCTGTAATAAGACAAGTCATAGGGAGATTTCTTCATTTCCTGGTAAGTCCATAGAGAACAATATACAAATGCAGTCTGAACAGTACAGATAGTTATACTGCAGTGCCATGTCCCCGATCACAAAGCAGAGTCATTCAGATGAGCACACAATTTTAGACCTTTTACAGGACTCAACAAAGTGAATGAGCCCTAAAGTTTGTGGGTCCCTCAGACACAACATGGAGGTAAGAAACCCATGATGGAGTAAAACCCAATCTTCTATAGTTATGATCTGTGAACTAAAACAAATTGAGCTAATCAGCCAAACATCTCTCTTACTTCAACGACCACATTATAATTCTGGGTCAATGATTTGGACAGTAGTAAAGCCTGAGGATCAGTATGGCAGCCAGGCATATAATCATTGCCATGGGCAGTCATTAAATGCTACTCAGCATTGGGCGTAAGAACCAGCTGAGAATTACTGAGGAACTGACTGGCCTAACATAAATCATTAAGTAATAAAAAGTAGGTTTATAAAAAAAAACAAAATGTATTCCAACCTTGCTGTATAGCTGGTGACAAATTGTTGAGTGCGTTTGTAATTTGTTTTGCTTGTTTGAGAATGTGATGGTTGATGATTCCATGAGTGGGGATGTACCGGCGCACATCTTGCTCAATGTATGCGTTTCTTGAACATGCGTTGGAGGGTGAATACTTTTGCGCCAGATGTGAACTAGTTGTTTGTCTGGAAGCCCAGATTCTGGATCTAAACAATAAACTGGCAACACTGTGGAGCATAAACAACATGGAGAGGAGTCTGGATCTAGCGCATCAGGTTCTGGTGGAGGGCGGTATAGAGGAAGAGGGGGGGGAGTGGAGGAGCAGGATCCTGAGGTGGGAAGCTGGGTTACTGTTAGAAGGCGGCGTAGAGGGAAGAGTGTGAGAGAGGCCAGCCCTGAATTGATACAACCCAATAAATATGCCAGGTTGCAGGATGTTGGGGATATTAGTTCAGGGGTGGCATTGCTGGAGCAAGAGGCGTCCTAGATCTGCAGGGGGAAAGATTGCTCCAGTAAGGATGGGAGCAGGATGGAGGGACAGGAAAGACAGATTTTGGTGGTGAGGGATTCTATTATCAGACGGACAGACAGGGTAATCTGCCATCGGGTGTTGAACAGTCTGTTGCTTACCGGGGGCTCGTGTTCGACACATTGCAGAATGGATGGACAGGTTACTGGATGAAGTTGGGCATTACTCAGCTGTCATGGTGCACATCGGCACCAATGACAAAATTGGAGGCAAATTGAGTGTCCTAAAAAACAAGTTCAGAGACTTAGGTGCTAGGTTGAAGAGAAGGACCTCCGCGGTAGTATTCTCTGAGATACTACTGGTGCCACAAGCCACTCCGGACAGACAGCGCGAGTTGAGAGAACTGAACAAGTGGCTCCGGAACTGGTGTCAGAAGGAGGGCTTTGGGTTCCTGGAGAACTGGGCTGACTTCTTAGTCGGTTACCGGCTCTACAGCCGAGACGGGCTGCATCTACATGGGGAAGGTGCAGCACTTTTGGGGGAGAAAATGGTTACAAGACCGGAAGAGCTTTTAAACTAGATAACGGGGAGGGAATAAAAATGGGGAAAATAAACATAGAATATGTAAATACAGGGCCAGTTAATATAGAGGGCAGTATTACAAGGGGGGGCAGAGGGCCCACTCCAGTCAAACCTATTAGTAATGTGTCTTCCATACCTTGGTCAGATAAAATAATAATTTGGGATTCAGGAACATGCAAAAATATAACCCAAACCACTAGCACTGAACTAAAATGTATGTACATGAATGCTAGAAGTCTAGCAAACAAACAAGAGAAGCTCAAACTTATGGGGAGGGCACCAATAGCCGTGTTTCTGTGTTTACTAAAATTGGGAGGGTAATAGACTTGGGATTAAACACTATAACAGGGGTGCCCACAATTTTTTGTGTTAAGATCTACTTTTCAAATGACAAGCTTCATGAGAACTACCAATGAAAAAAAAACCCTTCCTCACTCTCTCTCTCCTGGCTCTCTGTCCTCTCTCTCTCCTGGCTGTCTCTCCTCGCTCTCTCTCTCCTGGCTGTCTCTCCTCTCTCTCTCTCTCCTGGCTGTCATTTCTCGTTTTCTCTCCTGGCTGTCTCTCCCTGCTCCCTCTCCTGTCTGTCTCTCCCCACTCTCTCTCCTGGCTCACCTTGCTGTATTTTGCAATAGGCTGTGTAAACTAATATTCTTTGATGTAATACATAGCACTACAACCCCCAGTATCCACCAGAAAGGTGTCGGGGAGCTCGGCTCAGCAGACTCAGGCTGATAGGTAATCATGTGTGCACAGCTAAATAAATATACCAACATGGAATAAAGGGGCCGCCATTCCCCCCCTTCCTGATCTACCAGCATCAGCTTTGAGAGCTACGATCACCATCTACCTAATGGGCACCCCTGCACTATAACATAACAGGAGGACCTGGATAAAATAGGGGAGTGGCAACTACATGACAGATGAAGTTCAATGTTGATAAATATAAAGTAATGCACTTTGTGGTTAAAAACAGACAAGCGGAATACACATTAATGGAAACTCCACTAGGGAAGTCAGAAATGGAAAAAGATTTGGGGGTCATAGTAGACCACAGATTGAATAATAGCTTGCAATGCCAGGCCGCGGCACACACAGCGAGCAGAGTTCTGTCTTGTATTAAAAAGGGAATGTACTGCAGAGACAAAGCAATCATTTTGCCACTTTATAGATCGCTGGTTCGGCCTCATCTGGAGTATTGTTATGGAAATTCACTTGGTTCAACGCACAAATCCATGTCGCATTAAGCTGCGCCAAACACAAAGAATTTCCCCCGTTGTACTACGCTCCTTTATGCAAGGACTGGAAGTATTTCCCTTCTATAGAGTCATGTAGAGTCAGGAGACAGATGTTGCTTGCTCGATAATCCCATGCTAACAGACCTGAGCACAGGTATGTTTATTGTTTATACCTGCCCAACAGGAAGTGATGTCAGACAGGAAGGGGTGTCTCAAACAGCGAGACAGGAAGTGGGACAGACAGGAAGTGAACAGGAGTCAGCTAACAAATCAGATGTAGTAACAATCTCTGACCACCGGAGTGACTTTATCCCGTGTGGCTCAGTGAGCAATGCCACATAACGTTACTAGGATTCTTATGCGCGCTCATTCACAGGGACAACGTTATATCCTCTCAGGCATGTTGATCAGGCACACCAGAGAGAACAAACGCACATTCCTTTCATATACAAATGTATCCACGCAAGCCAATAAATCCATACATTGCACGGGGGGCCCCAGCCGGCGTCCATACATTCGCCAAGACACAGCTCCGCTGCGCATAAGAAATCTCCTCCAATGGATTAATCCCCCCATCGTCTATTTACCGAGACACTGAGAGACTAATGACAAAACATTACAATACACTAAAAACACATCCTAGTAAAATTTCCACAACAGTATGCGGTTCAGTTTTGGTAACCAGTCCACAGAAAGGATGTCCTGGAGCTGGAGAGAGTTTAGAGAAGGGCAACTAAACTAAGGGGCTGGAGGACCAAAGCTATGACGGGATTGCTAAATTTGGACTTGTTCACGCTTGAAATGAGGCAATTAAGAGGGGACATGATTTTAATGTACAAAATGTTCAGTGGTGATGACAACATCAGCAATAAACTTTTTACAGTAAACTCCATAACAAAGACCAGAGGCCACCACCTAAAACTGGTGGTGAAAAGATTGAAAAACAAAGGGCTTAGGGGATTCTTCTAAGTCAGACCGGTTACATTTTGGAACTCTCTGCTAAAAGCAGTGGTATCAGCAGAGAGTATTAAATCATTCAAAAACCAATTAGATACCATCCAAAGAGACCATAACATACAGGGGTACAGGTACTCTTAAAACCCTAGACCCCAAGGGACTCATATACACACACATGCACACACTACACACACACTTACACATAAAGGTTGAACTCCATGGACCTGTGCCTTAATTCAACCTCAACTACTATGAAACTATGTAGCATGATTTTTTTTTCCATGATCTGATATTGGCCATCTGAGTGTGTTATAAACCCTTCTGTTAGCCCATAAAATTCATCCTTTACACCACATAGACACTGCGCCTGGATCAAATGACCCTCCCCCAACCCTTCCCATAGTGCATTGGTGGCTGTGTAATCATCATTCTCTGTAAATATTATTATTATTATTATACAGGATTTATATAGCGCCAATAGTTTGCACAGCGCTTTACAATATAAGGAAGACATTACAATCACAATACAATTCAAGACAAGATGGTAAGGAGGGCCCCGCCCGTGAGGGCTTACAATCTAACAGGGAGGGGCAAGTGATACATGAGGAGGGAGCTGCGCGGGGATGATTGTTTGAGAAAGTGATTGTTCAGTGGTTAGGTTGAGGTGGGATAGGCTTCCCTGAAGAGATGAGTCTTAAGGGATTGCCTAAAGGCAGTCAGTGTGGGAGATAGACGGACAGGTTGGGGTAGAGAGTTCCATAGAATGGGAGACACTCTAGTGAAGTCCTGGAGGCGAGCATGGGAGGAGTTGATGATGGAGCTGGAAAGCAGGAGGTCTTGTGAAGAGCGGAGGGGACGGTTAGGGTAATACTTTGAGACAAGGTTGGAGATATAGCCGGGGCCAGAGTTGTAGATGGCTTTGTACACGGTTGTTAATATTTTGAATTTTA